CACGGATGCGGGTTCTCTTCGGGTCGGTGGGACGAGGTAAGTGGACTTCGTGGCCCGGTCCACCCCCGAACTTTTCTCCGAGCCTTCTTTCCAGACTTTTGAAGGCGTGATCGACCTGCACCTACTCCAAGTTTCCTTCGTAGGTCTCGCCCCACTGCCCCTTCGACACCGTAGAAGGTGGAAGCAAGGATGGGTTCACCTGTGACCCGCTCGTCCACGTTCGACGGACGGGCTGCATCGCGGAAGGCAGCGAGGGTCTCGGGCTTGCATCCCTCCGGCTTCTCCATTCGATTGCCCGCCTCCCCCCGGTATGCCACCCTGACTTCCTGACCCTGTCTCTCTGCACCCAGCGGTGGGTGACGGGCTTGAGGTCCTCACAGGACATTTCCCAGCTCCCAGCGAGTTGCATCCGCGCGTTGTCAGAACCACAGAGCCTGCCTTGGCTCTGACCAGCCAAGGGCCCTTCCCCCGTCCCTTTCAAAGCTACTTGGAGAGTGGGGATGTGATGGGAAGGAAATCAAATACTTTTGAAGACAGGCTGCCCTTTAGGGGAGATTTTAGAGTTGTTCCTCAAATATGCTTGTGAGGCCCTTCCTTCAACTCGTTGGTTTTCTTTCTGGCAGGTAGAGCTGGGTAACTTTTGTCTGGTACCTGCAGACAGTAAGTAGACGAGGCCTCTCCCTAGCGGAACACTTGATCTTGCCCTTCAGCCCGCTCCTCACTGTAAATGGACATTTCTAGTTGACACGTGAGGGATTTATGCAAAGAAGGTGCCATTCGGAAGTCCAGACTTAGACGGACGTGTGTTTAGAATTCGGAGAGGAAAGGAAAGGAAATGGGAATAAACTCATGCTGCAGACTTAATTCGGGTACATGTGATGTCATCTAGGTGTTATTTCTAAAGAACCCCTAATGATGATGACAAAATGGAGAGTAGGACGCTTTCACATAAGGCATGCAACCTGACTTTTGTCTGCGTCTGATCGTTGTTGAGATTATGTCCGAGGAATGTGAACAGCTAAGCAGAGGTCTGTGTTCCCACACCAGAGGATAGATGTCAACAGCAAGGCTGTGCATTTAGTACCATCATTTCCTCTAGGAAGTCAAGCCTGGAAAAGAATTGTGTTCAGTAGACGAAGACACTTCTAGATATATTCGAACAACATCTTGAATATCCCTTTTGCCAAGATGTTTTTGTTAGCCAGTTATATTCATGTACTGTTCTATGAAAATCATAAAAAAAAAAAAAAGGATTGCATCGTGGGTACGAATAGTTAAAGGACCCCAGAATGACTAAACTTTTTTCCATCCTTCTTTGCAAAGGTTGGTCTCTTTTAGCCTGGACAGCCTGATCATTCCATAATCGAAGAAACCGAGCTAGGTGACTCTTGATTGAGAATACCTCCACTTTTCAGGAGCTTGTGGGGTTTGATTATTTTTCCTGAATGTATTTTTTTTTAACATGATATATTTTTTTGATGGTCCCATCTTGGACAATGAAAGTAGAAACCATTTCATACAAAAATTCTGACCTCTGTCTGGTTATACTGACTTAGTTTTTTATTCTGTGGCATTTTGTAGGTCATACTACATTATTTGCTGTCTTTTCCTAGAACAGGTTTCAGGAATATAAATTAAGTCAGCTCTTTAAACTTAGTGCAGACGATTTAAAAATATTTGTAGTCCAGCCTGTGTGGCGCAGTGGTTGAGCACTGACCTATGAACCAGGAGGTTACTGTTCCATTCCTGGTCGGGGCACATGCCTGGGTTGTGGGCTCAATCCCCAGTAGGGGGCATGCAGGAGGCAGCCAATCAAGGATTCTGTCTCATCATTGATATTCCTATCTCTCCATCTCCCGTCCTCTCTGAAATCAATAAAAATATATTTGAAAAAAAATATATGTAGGTGGTTCATCCATGGTATACAATATATTGAAACAAAATCACTTTGAAATATTGTTTTTATAATTTTTTCTTTTAGTTCCTATGACATGTCTTTGAAGATAATAGGCATACCAACTTCAGTTGAACTCATTTATAGAAAGCAATTGTTGTGGGATATAGTTGACATGCCAATTATATGAGTATATGATTTGGCTGGGAATAACTAATTGGCTCTTAGGGAACTGTTATCACTTTTAATCAATAAAGACTTCTGCAGGCTGTATCTGGAAGGTTTGAGTTGAAAGATTAATGAATGACAGTAGCGTTCCCTGATTCCTTCAACCCAGAAGTATCGATTAAATATAAGATAATGCTGGAAGTCAGGTTTCAACTTTTTAAAAGAAAACTTTTTGAAATGTCAACTAAGCAATAACTTTGTTTTTTGGTATATTGGCACGTCAAGGGTCCCAGGTTTGATTCCGGTCAAGGGCATGTACCTTGGTTGCGGGCACATACCCAGTGGGGAGTGTGCAGGAGGCAGTTGATCGATGTTTCTCTCTCATCTATGTTTCTAACTCTCTATCCCTCTCCCTTACTCTCTGTAAAAAATCAATAAAATATATTTAAAAAAAAAACACAAAAAAACAAAAAACTTTTTGAAATGTCAACTAAGCAATAACTTTGTTTTTTGGTATATTGGCACTGCAGTGCTGGCCACAGAATAGGCATCCATGTTCTTTAGTTAACAAATGTTTTTGCTGAAGTTGGGTTATACGAAATTATTCCACATTTATTTTGTATGCTAATCCTTTATATAATAAAGAACTAATATGCTAATTGGACCGAACTGCAGAACGACCATCCGGATGACCTTCCGGATGAAGCCGAGGCTGCGAGGGCCAAGCCCCTTGCATGACGAATTTCATGCATCGGGCCTCTAGTCAATGTATAATAAGGAAGTAACTGTTAGAGTGCATGCTGTATTCTTAGGTTTTGTTAGTATAATTAATTGCTTAACCTTTAGAAATAAGAATAAACTAAAATTGAATGCTAGCTGAATTATCTTTCTTTTTGGACTTTATAATCAAATTTCAATAGATGTATTTAAATATCGCCTTTGCGCTGAGGCACCATGGCAATGCAAAGGAAAAACATATCCAAGTCTTTTTTTTTTTTCAAAATACATAGGCTGTAGGAAGTTTCTCATTAGATAATCAATATGCCAGAAGTAATTTTCAAGCACTTATGGGGCTAATGAGATTTATTGATTTGTTTTATGTCATCCACTATATAACTCTTTTCCCCAACATTTCCTCCCTTCAGTAAGAAGACTGTTAGGATGCCAATGGTAGCACGAAGACTGAGAGATCCTGACATAAATCCTTGCTTGTTGGTAAGGTGGTTTGCTTTTAATTTTCATGAGTGTTAAGTTGGGAAAACAGGCTTCTTCTTATTTTGTGGGCATCTGTTTTCTTCAGTTCTTTTTAAAAAAATGTGTTTCTCTATTTGCTTTTTAATTTTAATGGGATTTTTTTAAATAAAGAACTTTTATATTTCCTACTCAGAAATCCAGTAAATATTCACTTCAATCTTTTTCTACTCTGTCAATTATTGTTTTTTAATTAATTTACTTATTTTTATTAAAGTATAATTGACATATATTAGTTTCAAGTGTACAACATAGTTATTCAACATTTATATACCTTATGATGTGGTAACCACAATATGTCAAATATAACCATTTGTCACCATAAGTTATTATTGACTGTATTCCCTGTGCTATACATTACATCCCTGTCATTTATTTTATAACCAGAAGTTTGTACTTTCACCTTTTTCACCCATCCCGAGCCCCCCTTCTTTTGGCAACCATAAGTTTGTTCTCTGTATCTAGCAATCTATTTCTGTTTTCTGCCATTTTTTAAAAGTTATTTCTGTACAAAAAATATTTCTAACCAGTGTATCCTTATTTTACTAGAGCATTTTTAGATATGCATAATTTAGCTAACAAAGATTTATCTTCTTTAAGTTTTCCATATTTATATAATATGCAAGCATTTAATCATCACTATAATGTTAAACAGGCATATGTAACACTGAGGAAAATTTTTAGTCCAAACATGGAAAGTTGGAAAGTACGATATTTTTAAATTGTCACTGAAATTTATGTTTTAATAGCAATAATTTCATCATGTCCTTGAGACCACCTGGCTGAGAGAAAGGGGCTGATATAGAATTAGTCTATTAAACTCTAAAGGTTTTCACAAAGGTATATAAACAAAATGCTTTGTTGAATAATAAGCTTTGTTGGCATTTATTTGGTATGACTATCAATACTTACTTCTGGTTTTGTCACCCTGGAATAATGTAATCATCAGACTAGTGCTATGAAAATGATATTCCCTAATCCTATATGGATTTTCCAAATATACACATGCATTAATTATTTGACCTAGAAATTTAGATTTGTTCTGTATATTATGTTTTCAATTGCTTTATTAAGTCTCTTTAGATAGGATATATTTCTTAGATCCATTAAGCAAATTACCTACCCGTTTAGTTAAAGCTTTCCTTTAGGTAGTGACCTCTTAGAATCATACCTTTTTCTTTGAAGTTTGTTATCCAATCTACTTCCAGTTCAGACAGCTTGAATTTCATTCCCAAATGGCAGCTACCCTCCTTTGAACTCATAGCCCTGTGTTGCTCACTTTAGTTTTGAAGTGATCTTAATGATATTAAAATTGCTTACATGATAGTGTATTTACTTGCATAATGATAGCAAAAATACACTGAGATGAATGGTGTTAATTTAAGTTACCTTGATGTAGACCGGTTATTAGCATTTACTTAGGATCTCAAAACTAGCATTAACATCAAACATTCAAGTCAAAGTCAGAACTGGAAAAAGCAGGAGAGCTGCCCTCTGAGTCAAGAGACGATTTTGCATCTAGCTGTGCTGCAGTGATTCTGAACACGTCGCACCTGCCACAGCTTCTTTGTTAAACGGTTAGTGGGTTAAATGACCTCAGTCAGTGCTTTGGCTCAAATTCCCGTGATTATATATTAAAAAAACTGACCCAGACTACAAAAAGGAAGATGTCTGCCCTGTGCAGAATGACTGCTTGGGAGAGTTGGAAAAATAATTCAGTTTTTGTTCATTACAACAAACAAAAAGAAACTATTTCATATTAGCTGCTTTGTGGAGGAAGCATCTTCAGAAGTTCTTTGGGTTTTTTTAGATCCTATTCCACCTCTTAAATGATGCCTATCTTACATATTTAAGGAATCTGATGCTTCTACCAGATGTATGGATGAAAATAACTATGACAGGGAAATGTGTTCCATTTACTTCTTGAAGTACAAAAACTGCCGAAAGTTCTGGGTAAGTCTAGTGAGGTTAGATGAGATGGTCTAACTCATCTGTTAGGCTTGAATCTGAAGCCTGAAATTAATCAGTACCCACAATCCTTCCTTTGGGGTGGCTGTAGGGAAACTTCACCTTTCCACTTTGTCCTCAGTGTGTTATTTTAGCTCAGTGGTTCCCAAACTTATTTGGCCTACCGCCCCCTTTACAGAAAAAATATTACTCAGCCCCTGGAAATTAATTTTTTTTAAATTTTAATAGCAGTTACTCATCGCCCCCAAATGCACCTGTGGCCATCACCGCCCCCTCCCCCCCCCCTGGATCACTGCAGCACCTACCAGGGGGTGGTAGCGCCCACTTTGGGAATCACTGTTTTAGCTTAAATAATCCTTGAGAGTTCTTAGTTGCCTCATCCTACTCCAAGGTATAAGGATGCATGCAGTTCTAATATAGGTGGGTCTTCCTAGGTGTGTAAGTATCTGCAGCCTTAAAACAATAACCTTGTTATAATTTTATTTCTCTTGGAGATGAACAGAATGGATAATTTGTCTTGTCATAACACATATTAGGCTTCCATTTCTGCCTCCTGCTCTCCCACTGCCACCCAGGATAGTTTAAATGGTCCAATTTTTCTGGAGACATTGGTATGCAATTTCTGTTTCTCTGGGCACTAGGTCCAGCTGCTTCATTTCTCTCTGCTAAATTAACTGATGGTTTCATTGAAGGACTGTACCCTTGTGCTCTTGTAGTTAAACAGCATGTCCCCATCCCAGCTACCGTTAACGTAGTCCTGTGGGAATAGTCACCTCTACTTAATTCTTAATAGTTTGAAACTTAATCTGAACTCTTACAATTAGTTTTTTGGGTTTTCTTTTTAACCTATTTTTTTTTTTTAATTTCCTTTTTGGGGAAGCAATAGCAAATTACTGGAAAATAATTAGCAGTTAATACATGACTGAATTTGGTTTCTTCTTCTTTTTTTTTTTTTTTTCCTATATGCAGAATTCTGTCATGGTGCAGAGAAGACAGAATGGAGTGAAGCCACCTATGCCAACAGCAGCAGAAAGAAATGAAATCTTGGGAGCAATGGGAAAGATGCCCTATTGAATGTTTGCATTAAAATGATTTAACTCAAAAGGAGATAAATATTTTTAATAAATGATTACTGTAATCTTTTAAGACCGTACAAACCTTACCCAGACAGATCTTGTATTCTGTAAGGGGAGACAAACTTGAGCGAGCCATGTGTCCTTTGTGTTTGCTCTCAGTGCCATGATGACAGTGTGCCACTGTCAGAGCTCACAGTACTTCCTGGAATACGGGAGTGTTAGGAAAGGCTACACGCGGAGCTGGGCTTTTCCTCTGAGTCTCGAAAGAAAAGTAGAGTATTAGAAAGTAAAGACTTAATGCGGTGAAAAGAAGGCAGTATTTCATGTGAGCAACAACATGCTAGAAGGAAAGCTCGAGACAAATTCAGAGTTGTCTGTCCACTGTCCCACCTGAGTTTAAGGCCGGTAGAGGAGTAATGGAAGAGGTGACTGAGTGGCCTCAAATCCGAGGCTCATTACTAAGATCTCTATCCTTACTTCACTCACTTATCTTGGTTTAAATTAGGTCAGTGCATTCGCTAGGCAGGAAGCAGGGCTGCAGGAAGGTTGCCTTAAGTAAATGGCATGCAAAAGAACTGGCTTGCTTGCTTTAAGGAAAGGTATGGTTAAAGGACTCTGTGACTAAAATCCATAAATATTGGACAACCTTCTGAAGGCATAGTATTCTTGAACTATGGTAGTGGGGCCGGAAACGTGATTCTCTTAGAAGTAGGATTTTTATTTTCAGGATGCAGTGGGCAGGGAAGGGTATGGGGTTTATCAGGTGAACACAACACTGGGATGAAACTAGAGCTCAACTTCACTTTATGATATAAAAACAATTCATAAGCCTATTGAGAAAGACAAGTATCATATGATCTCACTTAGGTGTGGAATCTAATGAACAAAATAAACTGATGAACAAAATAGATCCAGAGACATGGAAGCATGCAACAGACTGATGCATCTCAGAGGGAAGCGGGGTGAAGGAGGAGAGATTAACCAAAGAACTTACATGCATATATGCATAACCCATGGACACATATAATAGTGTGTTGAAAGCCTGCGAGGGTCAGGAGCTGGGTGGAGGTGGTCAATGGAGGACAAAAAAGGGACATCTGTAATACTTTCAACAACAAAAATTTTAAAAAATATTCAGTATAGTGATGAATGGATTGCATAGCAGCTCTCATACCCTCCACTTTTAAAAATCCAGTTTGCTTCATTTATAGAGTAGTTTTATAAAAGACATTTAATAATGGAAAATCAACAAAAACAAATAGTTTGTGTCCCTTTTCTTCAGGTGGCCCATGATCATCAAAGAGTATAATTTTAATGGCTGCTCACAACAAACTATCCATCTGATTGGTCTTTGTCCAAAATTCAGCTCGGCTGTTTTTAAGCCATAGAGGATCGTCACTGGTACATGTGATTCTATTTGAGTACAATGTGATTTCATTTTGAGTAAAGTTGTATTTGAAATTCTGAGTTGTTTCAGAAATTCTTTGATTTGTATTGATGACTCTCAGAGTGATGGATTAAAATAAGACCTGACAAGAAATTAATAAATACTTGAGTGAGAAGCATTTCAGAACTTTTAAGCATGCTTGTTTAAGGATTTGGAATTTAATGTCACCTCTTTCAATGTACATACCAATATCGACACTCATCCTGTAGCTATTTGTCCTGGCATAGTTCTTTTTAAAAATAGCAACTGCATTCAGATACAATTCATATGTAAGTCACCTACTTAAAGTGTATAATACAGTGGTTTTTAATATATTGACAATGTTGTGCAGCCTTCACCACAACGGTTTTAGAACACATTTATCACCCCAGAAGGAAACCCTGTACCCATTAGCACACATTCTTCATTTCCCCCCTAACACCACATTTCTTCCCCAAAACATAGGCAACTACTTACCTATTTTCTTTCTCTGGACACTTATATATAAGTGGGATCATACAATATGTGGTCTTTTGTGACTGGCCTCTTTCACTTAGCCTCTTATCAAGGTTCATTCATGTTGCCTGCATCAGTACTTTATTCTTTTTTATTACTAAGTAACATTCCATTGCATGGATATACCACATTTTATTTATTGATTCATCAGTGGATGGGTATTTGAGTTGTTTCCACTGTTTGGCTAAATATGGGTCATGCCGTTTCCTAAAGATTTGTGTACACCTTTTTGTGTGGACATCATTTCTTTTTGGATATATGCCTGGGAGTTGAATTGCTGGGTTGTAAAGGTAACCATATTTAACCTTTTGAGGAACTGACCAAGTATTTTCCAAAGTGGCAGCACCATTTTACAGTTTATGAGAGTTTCAATCTCTACACATCTTCATTAGCACTTATTGTCTGTCTTTGACTACAACCATTCTAGTGCGTGTGAACTGGCATCTCATTGTGGTTGTAGATTTGCATTTCCCTGATGGCGAATGAGGTTGAACATCTTTTCATGTGCATATTGGCTACTTGTACATATTCTCTGGAGAAATGTTCATTCAGATCCTTTGTCCATTTTTAAATTGGATTGTGTATCTTCATTATTGAGTCCTAGGTATACTAGATACAAGTCTCATCAGATACATGGTTTGCAGGTTTTTTTTCTCTCGAATTCTTTGGGTTGTATCTTCACTTTATAGTGTCCTTTGAAACACACATGCTTTTAATTTTTTAAAATATATTTATATTGATTTCAGAGAGGAAGAGAGAGAGAATCATTGATCACCTGCCTCCTGAGAGAGAATCATTGATCACCTGCCTCCTGCTGGGGACTGAGCACGCAACCTGGGCATGTGCCCTTGACCGGAATTGAAGCTGGGACCCTTCACTCTGCTCTCTATCCACTGAGCCAAACCAGCTACGGACAGGCTTTTAATATTTAAAAGATATGTTTTTTTATTATTATTTTTAAAGAGAGGAAAGGAGAGGGAGAGAGAGAAACACCAACACTGATTGGCTGCCTCCTGCATGCACCCTGCTGGGGATCAAGCCTGCAACCCCCGCATGTGCCCTGAACCAGAGACATCCTGGCGCATAGGTCGATGCTCAACTACTGAGCGCACCTGCCAGGCCAAAGGCTTTTAATTTTGATGAAGTCCCATTTGTTTTTTCCTTTTGCTTTTGGTGTCACATCTAAGAAAGCATTGCCCAGTTCAAGGTTACAAAGGTTTACACACATGTTTTCTTCTAAGAGTTTTGTGGTTCTAAGCTCTTATATTTGGGTCTTCGATCCATTTTGAATTAATTTTTGTATGTGGTATGAAGTAGAAGCCCCGCTTCATTCCTTTGTATCTGGCTATCCAGTTGTCCCAGCACCTTTTGTGGAGAAGACTGCTTTCCCCTCTTGAATTGTCTTGTCACTCTTGTTGGAAATCAATGGCTTGTATTTGTGAGAGTTTACTTCTGGGCTTTCAGTTCTATTCCATTGATAGATATGCCTATCCTTATGCTGGCACCACACTGTCTTGATTACTGTAGCTTTGTAGCAACGCAAATCTCTTTGATGCTTGGTTACTATAAAAATGTTTCCTATAAAGTGCTTTTAATAACAAACTAATTATTTGGGTGTTTTTGATCAGCAAACCTTTACCATCTAATCATAATATGGCTCCACAAAGCTGTTAAATTTTAAAGTAGTCTACAGTAATCCCCTACTTCCTTCTTTGCATCTTTACACATACCCTGATAACTTCAGTATACACGGCTTGTAACCAGGTTGTTCAACATCTCATTTCATCACTTTGGAGGGGGAGAATCCCAGGGGTTTCCCTTGTCAGCACTGTCAAATTTGCCACGATCGTATTTCTCGCTTCAAGATTCTACTTTGGGAGAGGAGAAGCTAATTAACCTGATAAATTAATTGTGTTAGGATGTTAGTGAGTGCCGTGAAAAATTTTGGGTTTAGGCAAGCCTTTGATATTAACTATCAACTAAAAATATAGGTAGAAGGCATCTTACCATGTTCACATGCATCTCCCTGTTGTAGAAAGCATCTCAGATTCTCCAAGCCATGGGGAATGTGGCACACTGTGTAGTGTGTAACAGCAATCCTTCGGAGAATTTGAAAGCTGGAGGATATAAACAATAGTATTCATGGTTATATCCATAACCCGCGTATGCTTTTACTGTGAAAGAAATGTTCAACAAATGTGAATGTGTTTTAGGAGGGATAGCTTTTAAAATTGGACAAATTGAGAACCATGCAGGTTCAAACAATGCAAAAGGCTCTACAATGTAAACAAGTCTTCCCAGAAGCAGCCAATGTTGAGTTTTCAAAATTTTCCGTGCATACTGGTATGCAAACATACCTATATATGTATTTGCTGGTTTTGCACAAAAGGGCCACCATAGTGCATGATCAGGAGGTACCTTGCTTTTTTCACTTAGTGATACAGTTTGGGATAATTCTCCATCAATGATTATAGATTGATTGCATTCTTTCAGTGGCTACAGTTCTCCACTGCTTAGACATTCCATCATTGAATACAGTCTCCCCCTGATGGGTTTGCTATTAGAAACAAAATTGCTATAAGCATCTTTATGTACGCTCTTTGTTCCTGTTTTTATCTATATGATTAATTTCTCAGAGTGCAGTTTGTAGGTTCAAGGTTACAGCATCTGAAAATTTGTAGATATTGAAAAATCACCCCCCACTCCTCCATTTGGAGCACACAAACTTTTACTCCCATCAACAAAGCCTATCGGTGTATCTTTTCACACCCTCAGTCCCACTGGGATACTTTAAAACTCTTTCATCCTTACAATTGATGAGTGAGAAAAGGAATGAGTGTTTTTATTTCCTTTGCTCGTTTTTAAAAGACTGTTGGTGTGAATAATTTTGGGAACTCTTCGAATATTAAGAGAATTAGCTCTTTGTCAGATATATTTTTTATATTTTGCTTTGTCTTTTAACTTTTATTTCTGTGCAGTGTTTTACCTTTTTAATGTAATTAAATGGGCCAATCTTTTTGTTTCTGGTTTCTGGTGCTTCAAACATGTTAAATGAATCCAAATACAAGTCCTGCGATTACAGTTCAATTCTGCTCAACAAATATTTGC